CAAAAAAAGCCTTAAACCCTAAAGCCCTAGCGCCTTCCTTCATCGATCCTTCATTTTGAAACCAGGTGCTCTCTTTGCCAAACACCGCCCTTGGAACCGGGATCTCCAAAAAGAAGCGCCGGAAAATGAAAGTAATACCACAATTAACTAGAGTTTAGGGTGTAGGGTTTAGTGTTGAGGAAGAAGCTACCACTCCTTCGCGGTGAGGTATTATGCGAAAAGTAAGGATATGAAATAAAAAAAACCGCCCGAACCGTATTCCATTCACCAAGGCCCGTACCTTCCCCGCAGCTTCGGTTGCCAGGCACCGGATCTTAAGAGCTTTGCTCTCGGCCTTAGAGGTAGCCACGGTTTACGGTTTAGTAGGGTTTAGGGNNGTTTATGGTTTAGGGTTTAGGGGGATGTTGGGATTCCGGGCAAATGGTCACTTGAAGTGTTGGGCCTGATCTATGGGAGCCTGGAGGCCGTGAGCCCCAAGCCCTCAAGCCTCAAGTTCAGGGTCTGACGATATAGGGGTTAAGGTTTTAGGGTTAAACCGTACTAAACCCTAAACCCTAAACCCTAAGCCCCTAAGCCCCTAAGCCCCTAAGCCCTAAACCCTAAACCCTAAACCTGAACCATATCATGTACCTGTGCGGTGCGTGGGAGCAACAAGACTCTCAGCTTGGTTCCTGCCTTCGTCGCTCGTCGGGGAGACGGCTCGTGAGCAAGGGATGCGTATCTCTGCTGTCAGGGTTTTTCAGAAGCTTACGGTTTGGTCGTGGCTGCAAGCTTGAGGACCTTAGGTGTCCTAGTGTTTGTAAGATTATAATACAGTAGGCTTTAGATTACTTTCTGGGCCTTTGGGAGGGTTTCGGCTTTAGGGGAGCTCCAATCAAGCCTGTGCAAAAAAGGGTCACTTCAGCAAGTGCTCACAAAAGGGTTTTTGCACCCAGAGACGTGGCGTCCGTTCTTGAAGGTCATCCCGTCTTGCGCCCACAAACAGTGTGCCATTTGCCTATGGTCTCCATTGTAGTTCCTTTTTTTGGCTTAACCAGTTTCATATTATGGATCCTATATAGGCAACCCCAAAACGGAACTACAATGGAGACTATAGGTGGGATTGTGTGGGAGGGCTCCGGTGAAGAAATCCCCGTTTGCTGCTCGTCGTCTCCTGACATCACATGGCCAATGTTTTCCACAAGCTGCGGCATGCCGCGGCCGTCGGCGGGTATGTAACCCTGCCAAGGATGCTCACCATCGCACACAGACACTCACCAGACTGCATATTCTTAGGAAACCCTAAACCCTAAACCCTAAACCCTAAACCCCCCCCATGCCAACCCGCACCCCAAGCCCATCTAAGCCCCGAACCTGGAAACCAAGCCCTATAGCACTAAACTACCGTTTTAAGCCCTCACCCAAACCTAAGCATTAAACCCTAAACACTGAACTTAAATTCTAAGCCCTAACCCAAACCTAAGAAATAGACCTTAAATTCTAAACCCAAACCCTAAAAACTAAGTCCCTAAATCACTCAGCCACTCCGAGCATCTTTTCAGGGGACTGTGGACTCGTACATCCATGCGGGATGTGTGCCTCGAGACTCAATGGTCCTTGAAGTAAAACCCTAAGACGATTTGGTCAAAGCCCTACCGTCAATTATGAACCCTAAAGTTCCGAAAGTCCTAAATCCGAAAGCTCTTAATTATATATTATATACATATATATGTATATACATATATATATATATATATATATATGTACTTATATACGACATACGATCCAAAGCCCTTAGACCACTCCAAAAGCTTCCCAAAGATCGACTATGAAGTCCCCTTGTCGTGGAGACGTCCTCAAGGACCTCGCTCCCAAAAGCTTCCCCCGAGACCGTGCGCCAACGCCAGGCGGCAAAAGGAGCGTTGATTGATAGCATTTCGAGACGTTAAGGGTTTTGGGCTTTGGGGTTTAGTTTAGGGTTTTAGGGTTTAGGGTTTAGGGGTTTAGGGTTTGCGGTTTCGGGGTGGAGGGTTTACGGGCAAGACTGCAAGAGGCCTGGATGCAAAAAAAGTGGGTTCAGAGGAAGTCCTTAGTTTTGTTAACATACCCTAGGCTTCCAAGGACCTTATAGTTAGGGCCCTAGACCCCTTAAGGACCCAATAATAAGGTCCCTGGAAGCCTAGGACCGTGTTGAAGCTCTGAAGGCCGCTTAGTACTAGGGGGTTTAGGGTTTGGGCCCTTGCAGGGGCCCTGACAGTCTCGGGCTTTCCACAGGTTTGTGAACCGGTTTTTATGGTGGCAACCCTTTGATAAATTTGCTAGTCTGGAGGTGTTTTTTGTCCTACTGCGCCGTAATTAAATGTGAAGCCCACAAGCCCTCTAAGCCACCTTGAACTTGATGAACCCCAAGCGCTTGTACCCACCCTGAGCCCTGAACCCTATACTGTCCTAAGCTAGCGAGATCGTGCTCATACGCTTTCACAGCCAAAGCTCAGAAGGAGGTCGGGTTGCAACATGCGTTCCATGCCAGGCTCTCGTCATGAAAGCTTGCAACTCACCCGAATTTTGCCACCCTGAACCTTGAAATTCCCTGAACCCTGGACCCTGAAGCCACGAAAGCGCAACAAAAGCAAAGTAAGCCCCTTGAGTATAACGCACTCCTTGAGTGTAGCGTGGTTCCTTCGTGATGGATGGATCCTAGACAAGATGCCCCCGCGCACGGCCTTATGAACGCTCAATATACTATGAAGTCCTGAAGCCCCAAACCCTAGAACATTGGTAAAAGAAACAGTAGATCGAGTTCTAGCTGCTAGCTTTTCTCGTAGTTTGTTTCGGTTGCTGGTGTCGTCGTTGTGGTGGTGGTGGTTATTGTTCTTGCTGCTGCTGCTGCTGCTGCTGCTGCTGCGGCTGCTGCTGCTGCTGCTGCTGCTGCTGCTGCTGCTGCTGCTGCTGCTGCTGCTGCTGCTGCTGCTGCTTCTGCTGCCGCCGCACTGCTGCTTCTGCCGTTGTTGTTGTCGTTGTCGTCGTCGTTGTCGTCGTCGTCGTCGTCGTCGTGGTCGTGGTCGTGGTCTTGGTCGTGGTTTGTTTGTTTGTTGGGTTGTTTGGTTGGTTGTTTGATTATTTGTTTGTTTGTTTGGTTGCGCGTTTATTTGTTTGCTTTTTGTTTGTGTCTGTTTGAAAATTTGCTCATTTTTTTGCGTTTGTGTGTGCGCTTGTTTGTTTGCTTGTTTGCATACTATATGATGCGCAGATCGACAGACAGATAGATAGATAGCTGTGTATATCAAGTTGGACATCCCCGAAAGGCTCTGGAAAGCGGTGTGGGAGCTCGACTAGCCGACAACGCCGGCGTTTTGAATGCAGGTGCCATGTTTTTTTCGTGGATGTTGGGCAGGATTCGGGTCTGGTATATACACCAGAATAAATATCAAACCTATTCCCTGGACTACTAGTAGGGCACAAGGCCGCCATTTTAGAGCCTTGTCTTAGGTTACGATGGCTGTCAGTTGTGTTTCTGCTTTTGGGAATGGTTTACCAAATGGTCCGTAGGGCCCCTGGGACTTAGGTTTGTACAGGGCCACAACGATTACTAGGAGTATTTTTGAGGGTGCCCCGAACATAGCTATCCTATAAAACCCCCCGAATGCGCAGTTTTGGGCTACATACTGAAAGAAGCTTTCTTGTTCTCTTCAGCCTTACTGAATCCCGTTACATCCCAAACCCTCTGCCTTGCCTACCTAAACCCTAAACTCTGATCCCTGAACCCACCTAAACCCGAAGTCTCAAAGCATGACCGCGGCAGCCCTGCCTGCACCCGAAATAAGAGGCCCAAGCCCTGCTGCCATGGACATGTCACGAATCATGGGAGTAGTAAATACATGAATACATATATATATATATATGTATATATATATATATATATAAGTTTAAGCTAGTAATAATAAGAGTATAAGGTACTATGATGTATTCTGAATACATCATAGTACCAATTCTGAACTGTGAACCGGTGCTATAAAATAGTGGAATGTATGAACAGTTGTACTATACTATAATGTGTTATATTACTCTATGATAAGGTACTATGATGTACGATGAGCTGCATAATGCTAGATGTCAGAATTGTTTTCAACTCCCGTGGGCGGGATGAAGCCCCTGAGCACTGAAGCGATTGGAGCCTGCCTTGGAGGTTTCTAACTTTGGGTTTAGATTCTTTGGGGTTAGGGTGGGCTTCTGCAACGGATTGGAGCGTTTGCTTAAAGTTTCTTTAGCGGCTTGGCAGAAGATTACTTGCACCGTGCACCAGGGGCTATGCTTCGAGAATACAGACTGAGAAGAAGAACGAACCCCCGGGGTCCTAAGTGCTTAGCCCGAGCTGTTGCCGGTTGTCCTTACTTTCCCTCGCCCCTTTGGGGCTGAAGAGAAGCTCTAAGGCATCTGAGGCAGTCGCCCAGCAGAACAAGACAGCTTGCAAGATCCTGTGTTCAGGGTGATGGGGTCGCTTGAATCGTGGTTGCTACACTAAGCCCAGTTTTCGCTACACCCTGATCGGCCTAATCCTAAACGTAAGCCCTAACAGCCCTAACTCTTGAACCTTGGCCCCTTAAGGCTTAAATCCGACAGCTCTAAATCCTGATCGCCCTAATCCCTAGGCCCTAATCCCTGAACCCTAACACCCCCTAAACCTTAGTCCTTAAACCCTGACGAACTGTGCGGTCCCTGAAAACCTCGACTGACGTGGATACCCAGCCGAGGTAAGGGACTCCACTAAAAGCGAACCGGCATGTGCCCAATTGCTGGGTCCTTGAAACCTCGTTGCGACTATATACTTACAGACCCATGTCTTATAGGTTGTTGTAGATTCCTTTTGTCTCATCTAAAAAAGACCCCTAAACCCTAAACCCTAAAACCGCCACCAGGAGAGGTCGCTCGCCTTTGCCTGGCCCTGGCCAAGCGACCACCAGCTGTGGCTTTCGGCGACAAGGAAGCCGAGAGGCGGCGTCGAGTGTGTGGAAAGAGTAGTAGTAGTAGTAGTAGTAGTAGTAGTAGTAGTAGTAGTCGTGGTGGTGGTAGTAGTAGTAGTGGTAGTAGTAGTAGTAGTAGTAGTAGTAGTAGTAGTAGGGGCCTTAATAAGTACCTAGTTATACTATTATGGGGGGGGGGTCCTTATTATACCTATACTATTATGGGGGTTCCTTATTATACCTATACTATTTTGGGGGTTTCCTTCTTATGATTATAGCATAATGGGCCCAAGACCCTATTCTAATCGTTAATCAAGGCCCCTACAGTAGAGGGGGAGAGTCTAGAATAATCAGCAGCATCCCGTCCGCCATCTTCATCATCGTTGCCGTTAGAATCATGTCAGTGTCCAGTAGGGTTTAGGGTTTAGGGTTTAGGGTTTAGGGTTTAGGGACTACTGGGTTATCGAAGAGTTCTTTCGCACCATGGAAGCCATCGGGAGTCTTTCGGTGTCATAAAACGGGATTGAGTGTTCCACTCGGTAGTGATGCGAGGTTCCTTTGTTTGGGAAACTCTTGACATGCGATGTCTGGCTGTTTGATGTTATGTCTCTCTCCTCTCGATAGTATTTTTCCGTTTCCTTCTCATATGTGTTCTGGTTTTTCTTTCAATCTGTGTATCTCTCTATCTGTGTCTCAGATTCTCTGTCCCTTACTCACTCGCTCTCGCTCGCTCTCTCGCCCTCGCTCGCCCTTATCCCTCTCTGTTGTATCCCTGTCTCGTCGTTCTCGCTGTCCCTCGATGTTTCAGCCGCGCTCCACGCCCCGGCCTCCGCCCCCTAACGCACAAATAGAGCCTCCTCATGCTTTGTTTCATGACCCCTTATGCCGCTCTGCCAAAAGACAAGGGGTGGAGTTTAAGTTGGCACTCTTGGCCATGGGGCTTGGGGGTTTAGGGTTTCGGGTTTAGGGTTTAGGTTTTTGTGTTCACAGTCGCGGCGGTTACTGACTCAGGGTCAAGTGGTCGAGCCTTGCCCGCAACCCTACTAACCCAGAGACTCCAAAACCCCTTAATTAAGGACTTTACCTTAAATCATATTAGGGCTCCCTAACATAATTTAAGGTATATTCCTTAATTAAGGGGTTTTGGAGTCTCTGGGAAGTCGAAAGGGCCCTGCTAAGCGTTGTGGTTGCATGCGTCCCTAGGCTCAGATCTGCCTTCACCTGCTATCTTTATCGCTGCATTTGATTGGAAGTACGTAGCTGTGCATACGTAGCAAACATGGCAATATTAGATAAGTAGACCAATTAGCTTACTAAACAAATATATAAGTATGCATATATATATATATAGACATACATACATTTACCTAGGTCAGATGTTGGTTGTTTGCAGCCGCCAAACCACAGGTGTTTGGCTGAGGCCATCACGCCTGCAGTTGGAAGGCGTGCTGGGGATTTGAACATCCTTCATCGGGACAGGGTTTAGGGCTTAGGGTTTACTTTCAGATTCTGTCGAGATCTCGGTCAACGAGGGTACCAATTACTAGCCTCTTCCTTGCATGACATCACTGTGGGCAGACATGTTTATGTACGTACTGACTTTGCCTTTAGTGCGAATTATGCATGTGCTCTTAAGACTCCGCATGTGTACTTGCATATGTATATAAACTTTACATATTAACATATGTAGATGTGTATATATATATATGGGGCTATATGCGCATGCACGCTAATCACCTGCGAGTACGTGCATGTATATCTGTAAGCAGAGGAGAGACAGATAGACGACAGGTAGATAGATAGATAGGTAGATAGATCGACAGGTAGATAGACACATAGACAGACAGACAGACAGACAGACAGACAGACAGACAGCCAGCCAGCCAGCCAGCCAGGCAGGCAGGCAGGCAGGCAGGTAGATAGACCGATAGTTAGATGGACAATAGATCGATCGACAGATAGAGAGATAGATACCTAGATGGGTAGATTTGTAGATAGTTATAGAAGCGTACAGCTACATACACGTACGCATACATATACATGTATTTGTATGCAAATAAGTACATATATTCACTCACACTTGCATATGTCTATATGTGTATGTATGTGTGTATTCATACGCTTACATTCATACATACATGCATACATACATGCATACATACACGCTTACTTCCATATACACGCGTGCATGCTCGCATGCAGGTCCATCTGTATGCATGCATGTATGTACGTATGTATGCATTTACGTATCTGTATATGGAGGTCACATGCTTTTAAGCAGGTATGTATTTAGGTATGCCTGTGTGTATATAGGTAGGTATGTATGCAGGTACGCATGTACTTAAGCATGCATGCATGTACGTATGCATGTCGCATGTGCTCGTTTGTTCGTTCGTGTGTGTGCGATGATGCGCGCACTACATGCGCATGGCGTGTTATGTGTGTTGCAGATAGTGACGAAGACGAACATACATCAAGGGCTACCCAAGCCATTCAAACTCGGACTCCGTTCTTCTACATACCCTTGCATGCTCGCTGAAGCGTGGGACTGCCGCTTTTGCAGAAGCCAACCCTAAAACCCCAGAACCCCAAAACCCTAAACCCTAGAGCCCTAAAACCCTAAAGCCCTAAACCCTAAAGCCCTAAACCCTAAAGCCCTAAAACCCCAGAACCCCAAAACCCTAAACCCTAGAGCCCTAAAACCCTAAAGCCCTAAAACCCTAAAGCCCTAAACCCTAAAGCCCTAAACCCTAAAGCCCTAAAACCCCAGAACCCCAAAACCCTAAACCCTAGAGCCCTAAAACCTTAAAGCCCTAAACCCTAAAGCCCTAAACCCTAAAGCCCTAAAACCCCAGAACCCCAAAACCCTAAACCCTAGAGCCCTAAAACCCTAAAGCCCTAAAACCCTAAAGCCCTAAACCCTAAAGCCCTAAACCCTAAAGCCCTAAAGCCCCAGAACCC